CAGTGAACATGAATTTGTGACTTCAAGATGAATGTGCGAGCTGCAAATTTGCAAAAATTTGAGTATCCATATATTGACCTCTAGTAGCTAGTTGCAACTTATATTACTTGATGCCACATTCACAGTTATGTAAGTTTTCGTGCCAAGTTGAACTAGCCTTTTCATTTTGGAAGCTTTTTTTTTTCAAAACGAGAGATTTCAAGGTTTCAATTCAATTTAATATAACTTTGTTATCCCATTAAAGCTAATGGAACAAATGACGTGCAGTTCTTACTCTCTGTTGTACCGGCCGGTTACTTCTCAGACTATGAATAAACCTATTATGTAACGGATGACACCTGTCTGCCATGATCAGAGCGATCTTATTGCGCATATTTGACTCAAATAAATCCACCAACAATTCACTGTTTTGGGGGGAACCAGTAGATCTGCACGAAAATGCACTTGGTTGGATGTAACAACAGCCTCATCAAGATTTACTGCGGTATCTATGAAGACATTCCTGTCTGTACATGCAAAGCACCCTTGCGGTATCTCCATAGCTTGGCTTGTCCAAGACTTGACCCAGACTCTTTTAACAAGTTCCCTCTGCATTTGGGGACAATAGACAGGAATCACCAGGATCATATTGTGATCAAAGTTACCAAGACTGGGTAACTGTTTCACTCAGTATGCCCCTGGAATGTTGCCGTAGCAAACGTCCAAACAAGCATCCTTCGGGGTTGGACAATTGATGGACTTGATAGTAGGCATGTATTCCGTTAAACTGCGTGGGTTGAAGTCAACAAGAAGAACCTTAGCAGCATCAGGTGACACCGTCTCAGCTTGAGATACAAAGTCACAGATTGTATCGGCTGCTATCTTAGCATCTGCTGAAGGGGGTATATACACCACAAACAGCATAACTTGATTGATTTCCGGTGGCAAATAAAATGGCGGCCGATAAATGCCACTTGAGGAGTTGGATATCCTTAGTACAAAGCCCTCGCTTGATGGTAATATGTGCTGGCATCCCGGTACTGTATTTTTCGTTTATAAATGCACATGCAGCTCCACCTTTACTTTTTCCTGAATCATTATTCCTATCCATCCTCAGCAGCGTGTACCTGTCCAGGTCAACCAGGGTGTCTGGGTTGTTCTCCGTCAGCCATGTTTTAGTCATGCATATTACACTTAAATCTTGGTAATCTGCGAGAAAGCGGTGGCAGGCTCTGAGTTCATTAGTTTTGCTCTGTATACTCTGAAGATTTCCGTGAATAATTGTCGGAAGTGACGTTCTGTTCCTCACGCCACCCTTATTCCCACGTTTACACACCTTGAGAGTACCCGCACATGCCTCATGTATTGCACTTTTTGGCCGTGCCGAAAAACCACGTCGACTCAGCAGAAATTCAGGGCTGTATGATATCCATGGCAAGGACTCGGCCTCACCGGTGCCGTCGATAGCTGCACCCAAAATTCGTCTAGCACTCCATGATAAAGTCAGAAAGGCAATAAAAACCACCACCAGAGGAAAACATGATGCTTGACACGTCATCTGACTTTCAGACAAATCACAACTTCATAGAAAATGCACATAAAAACGAATTTAAAACCAACATGTAACAGAAAAGTAAAAAGGCCGTGTCCCCACATGAGCAGCGCCACCAATCAGTTGGTCATCACTCAAAGACAGAGGCAAAAGATTGTGAGCAGGAACAGTGTGGAAATGTAGGATCCAAAGGTTCACGTGTCAATTTTGTATTTAAGAGTTCTACTCCCCCTCCTAAAAGCCCTGTATTGCTTTTTAAAATTTTATCAGGTGGAACTTTCTGATTACAGACGATGCCATTCAGCCATTAGTTGGGCAGGCAGCCTTGTGGTCAGGCTTTGAAACTTCCCCAATCATCAGGTCACAGGTTCAAATCCAGCAGTGGGACATACCCTGTGACCATGCTGTGACCCCTGGCAAGCCCTTACACTCTCACTGGCCGTTTCCCACCTTGGAGCGTAAATTGTTGCTTGTGAGAATAGAGAGGGTTATTGCATTTGATTAGCCAGGTTGCATCTTAAATGGCACTGAGCTGGAGACATAGGCCCTACTTGGCTAGGGAGCTACATGTAAGATAGTTTTAAGAATGTATCTAACTAAGCCCTGTGATCAGGGGTAATGATGTACGTGTACAGTGTGTTGAGTACCAGCACTGTTTGAATAAGTGCATTATTTTTTCATTCATTATTTTTTAGCTGCTGAGTTGAAAGACTCTATTTCAGTACAAGAGTGTGAAAGAAGCCTTACATCTTCTTTGGCATGAATATTTCATCCCTCAAAACAGGGGAAGGAGTTCTTGGCGCCAGTCTGACAAACACAGCCCAAGAATCCCCCTGGCATCTTATCAATATTTCATCCCCGCAAAGCCAATGCCTGGGAGAGCGTCAGAACATGCAAAATGGATGGAGCTTAACTGATTCGCATCCTCGGATTCCAATCAATGATTCATAAACGCTGCCACTGAGGGCCAAGCTGATGGGGGTAACTCGGTCACTTATTCAGAGAAAAAGAAAGCGAGTTTGAGAACATGCGCGGTTGTAAAACAAAAAGAAGGGGTAAAAAAATGCCAGCTGCGGGACATTCCATACCAATCGCACTCTGCATTTGCACTCCAGCAATTAGAATGCTAGGTGTAACGTCTGGAGGGCAGGTGCACAGGCTGCAGGGCATATGAATCTGAACGCCTTGGATTGAGGCAGGATTTCGATAATGTGCATTTTACAACAGTTTCAAGTAGGTTTATATCACCTCTCTTGTCCACACCTTCAATACCAAGTTTGAGTGTAGCACTTGCTTGTACATAACGTACAGCACTTGGGGAAACGAGCCAGCGCGGTATTTCAAAAAAGCAAGGTCATTCTGGAGCAAAGCCCCGCAAGTCCACATACGTGCGTTAGGGCGGTGTTGATAGGCCAGGCCTCGCACGCGCATCTGAACAACCTCAGGCGCGCTCTTCATTGTGGGCATGCAATGTTGAAATACTGAACTGACTCATTGTCTGCAGTGGTTTAAGGCTTTGTAATCTTCATTGTCTCTGAAGAGACATGCCTTTGACACCAAGTCTGAACAAAAGGAATTACTTGAATTGTTTTTATCCATTGATAACTGCAATTGAAATTTCTGGGCCAAGTATCTGATCTTGACAATAAGAACCAAGCCACATCACTTTCATGGTTGACTTTACAACATTTCAAAGGCATCCCCGTTTGTATTCACGTCCCCCCCCTTCTCAGCCAATACAGGTAAGCCCCTACCTCTTCACGCATAAACCGGTTCACCGTACTTTGAGGTCTGACTCTTCATTTTCATGCCTCCCCACTCCCCCATTCCAAAACTCCCCCGTTCCATCACCGCCGCCTACTCTCCTCTGCAAATGGGCCTCGTAGCGACAACAAATGTGGGGAAATGAACAGATGAGAGGCTTGGGCCAATCTCATTAAAGCCCTATTGCGTTAAAAACTACGAGGAGGTTTTTTGTGGGTGGGGGCTGATGGTAGGAAACAGACGTGCGAAGCATCGTACAATTCAATCAGACACCCGCCACGTATGCACATGCTCTCGTCTGTGCTCGAGCCGAGAAGGTGCGGGGTTACACCGAAGGTAGAAAAAATTTCCCCTGGGGAGTCAAAAGTGCCCCAAGCGCTGGCTATTCAGCGGCACTCCGAAGCAGGTGATCGGCGCTAATCATTTTGTTGGGAGCGGGCAGAGTTGCGGCGTTTAGTAGGCAATCTTGTTAGACTGACTGGCGACACAGTCAATTGGCTCAGACACAGGCGACGAAGGCAGCACCAGCGCCGCATCGCGTGACTGGCCGTATTGAAATGAGCTATTTTGCATTCGTGCGTGTGTTTCTTGTTTTTGTTTTCTCTTGTTTGTTGTCGTGTTCTGATTTTTTTTCATGTTGGACCAAGCCAGTTGCAGTCAACTCTAACTCATTTTATAACAAAGCTAAAGGGATCAGACAAAATAATTTGTTACAAGCCAGGACATTGTTAACAAAGGAGTGGAAAAAGAAAAAAATCAAGAATTCAAGAAAGTTACTCTTTCTAAAAATCCTTTGTTACAGCAGTATTTTCTTATAACATGAGTTTAATGTGTATGTACTTCTTGTTTTCTCATTTGAAGCAAGATATGGGACGGAGAGAGAGCCTTTGTGTTGGTCATTGTTTGATCGAAATCTCAGGAATTTTTACAGACTTCTAGGGGGGATGTGATAGGGAACCATTTACTAGAGTGTGTATAGGGATTGGGCAGGTAAGGGGGGGTACCCCTCTGTCTCATATCTTGCCTGGTATATGTTTTCTGCCCAGTTTGGTGTAGGTTTAGAGCATGATAGGAGGAGGGAGGGGGGGTGGGTAAAGGGAGGGTGATAACTGAGGCAATAGATCACCCCGTTGTACTTCATAACTGCCATGAGCATTATTTTAAAAATTTCAAGAGCACAACTGTGTGAAGGCTTGCGTTCCACTTAAGTAGTCTAAGCAATAATAGAAGGAATGGTTGTCTGGCGCAAGTAATTTGACTATTGCTTGTGAAATTACCAAGACCTTCTGTGGTCAAGGGGCTCATTTGGAGAAAATTCAACAATTAAAAAAAAAAAACAGAAACAGCACCCCTGGAACGATTTCACTATGCTGCTCAAAGATTTTGAGCTGTCATGATTTTTGAGTGTCTAGTAGGTTTTCTCTTCCCATACATTACTTGCATACACACTTGTACATTGCTAACCATGTACCCAGAGAAATAACAGAACATTCTGAAAGACAAACACTGAAATATTCCACAAACAGGTCTAGTTGTAACTCTTTGGTGCAAGGTACTTGTATGTGAAGATTGGAAAGAAGTTACATGTGATGCTCAATAATTTTATATTGGTGAAGTGCAAGCCAACAGTCAAATTTAATTGAATTCATTTTAACAAGGTTTCAATATTATTTGTACTTTTTTCTCTCTGTGTTTCTGGATGCAGTGCCGAGCATTACAGAAACGTCTTGCCTTGGCCGAGAAAGCCAAAGAGAAACACGTGGAGGAACTGCAGACTGCCCACAAGAATGTCACACAGCTCCAGGTGGGTCCCAAGTCCTATAAAACCTCATCCCATAACCCAAAACTGGCCCGACGCTGGCCTGCATGTCGCCCTGTAAACATACGCTGCTGATTTCAAGCCCAAAGAAGCGATCATTTTGAGCAAAGTGCCCAAGTACCGGTACACTCTCTAGCAAGCAGCAGATGAGCGAGGATGCAGGCAGCACGGTACTGAAGTCCAGCCGGGCTGGTAGCCTGCTGATCTGTGTGAACGAAACCTCACCAATTGTTGCCTCCAGAGTGAAAGCTGAGAGTCTGTGGTGTTGGAAGACACATGTATGTGCAGTTGCATGTGAGATAAAGAACTCTGAGCACATTGTTATACCCCCCCCAGCTAATCTGAATGTTTGTCCCGAGAAGTGAGATACGTGCATGTAATAAGTCTTTACTTACTGCCTGTTTCGGCCCAACATTGTTCCTTTTTTTTTCTGTCTGAAAGCAGGCCTTTGTGGCTATTTCTGGACCGTGCTTGTGGTACAGCTTTACCACATAAGCTACATGTACGTCTGCACTGGACTTTTTTATTAAAGGTTTTTATCAAGAAGATCGCATTATGAAAAATGGTCAAATGTGACCGCCGTCCGCACTTGGACTTTCAACACAGGGGAAAGTTTAATGAGATGGTGGGGAAGGTCCGGTAACCCAGCTGCCTGTGTAATGATTAATAAGGGCACCCTGCGTGACTTTCCTACTCCTACATTTACTCGAATGTCATGCTTTTTGCATCTTTGTAAGACACAGCGTTGGCATCCTTCAGTGTCACCTGGGTAGGGTGCACTGGTAACATGAATCTAACATCTGACTGTGCTATGATTGTGACCAAAAGAGGAACAACGCACCGGAAGCTTGCTACATATGTGCCACACTGCGTGAAACTTGCCAAGCATGCATGTGTGGTGTCCTTGTGCTGCATGACCTTGCACACAGGCCCCGGTGTTTGCTTTCCGTAGCCATTTTTACCAACTAACACTGTCCGTAATGTTTTAATTGTCTCGCGGAAAGTTATCTGGTCAGTTTTCCTGTTCAGCAATCGGCCCGTAGAAGTAACTGCCAAATTCAGGAAAAGCGACCGAGAGCAAAATATCTCAGCCTGTCTGAACCGGACTTCAAATTGGAGAAGTGAGCTTTATGATTAAAAGCCCGGTGTGGACGGGGCTTTGCATGCATCACGGCTTGCACAAGACTCCCAATTTTCTTTGGGCTTATGTGTGAAGCGTTAGTGTCCCTGAACACGTGTTGAAAAGTGCACGTCCCCCTGACGCACGTCGTCAAAATTGGGATCTGCAATTCTTGCAGCATCTCCCCCATCACCCCTTCTCAGACCGTCCTTTTTAGGTGTGAGCCATTCCCCCCAGGGAATGCTGATTCTTCACTGCAACATTCCAGTTGGTAGCACATGGATCGATGGCTGTCATTAGGACTGCCCGAGTGGAATGTCACTAAAGCAGTTTTTGTATTCTATTGGTCTGTTTTTCTTTTTGGAGCTCATCATTAGTACTACATTTCTTTGCAAAACAGTCGGACAGTGTCACAGAGATGCTTGACTGAGGGTATGGACTTCGTGTAAGAATGAAATAGTGGATGTAGAAATTTAAGCACTGAAAATGGGCGAATCAGATTTATGTCGCACTGAAAAACAACCCCAGTTGACGTGACAAACAGTCCATCATGCTGTTGTGATTATATTCCCCACCTCTGGCAAATCAATTTTCTTTCGATTTTCCCAAATCCTCCAGCAGCACTTGAGCCAATAAAGATAACAAACAACGCTTTTTTCCCCCTTTTACTTTCAATGGATACAGTCTTGCTCTAGCGCTGGCAAGTCCCCCTGCCCCCCCCGGACCCCTTCAGAGAAACTGAACTTCCATTCGTATAGCAGTCAGCAAAGTTCGAACGTATTAATTCTCAACCCCAAGGGTGCAATAATATAATATGCATTATACTCCGAGTATAAAGCTTCTTGAGAACGTGAAGTGCAGTAAGTCTGCCCATTAACCGAGCAGGGGTTGGAGCAAAGCCAAAAATGGGGATTGTAAAAAATGCTGTTTTCCCTTGAAAAGGACCAAAAGTAAAGATTTTTCATTGCAAGTGTGCCTTCATAAATAGGAAAACAAAAACATCTTGCCACATTTTTTTTCATTATCTTTTTGTTGTCCCTGGACGAAGATGTGACCCTCCCCCTCCAAGGCAGTGGAGGATCTTGACAGCAAGTTGCTATTTTAGGACTTCTGAACATGTTTTTTATAGTTGTTATTGGAACTGAAAGGTTATGAAAGTGCAAGTTGACCCGCATTCATATGAAGGAACCCCTAGTGGGGTCAGCACTGAGTGCCCGTAGCCGGATTAAGTTATCCACTTACTATCTGGGGCTTGCTTCCCCTCCCCACATAATCTGGCACAATGTTTGCCCGAGAGCACACTCTCCCGTCCCCCTTTCCCCCTGCCCCTCCCCCCCTTGCCCATTTTTTACTGACACCTATCTACCCCTTCCAGACCATTCCAGTTTAATTTCTTGAGGGGTGGGGAGAGGTACGAAACGAGGAAGGCCAAATGAAGAGTACATTGAACTCTATTTCTCATTTTTCCCTCAAAAAATTGTGCAGGAGAGTGATAAGAATTGCAGGAAATTACTGAAAAAAAAACTGAGTATTTACTGTCTGCATTTTCTCATTTTCACATGCCGAACATACATGCATACCCTTGTAGTTGACAGAGTTCTTGCCATGGGCTTCAAGTGTTATTTTCTTGGCCGTATTAAAAATGTACAGTATCTTGAAGTTTGGACTTACAATTCATTCAGCCATTTTTGGTAAACTATCCACATGATGGCTGACACAGAAGGCTTCCTGGTATGCAGAAGAAGGGCTGAGATGTACACTTTGAATTTCGTTTCTGAAGGCATCTGGCCATTGTCATCATGGGAGTGATCCAGACTCGGACCACTTGACTATCTTCCACATATGTCCAAATCATGTCAGGTACATTCATTGCCTAACTCAGAAGGCCAAAAAAGGCCTCTGAATTTTTTGAAAAACGAAAGGAGATGGGGGGGAGGCATTTTCATTTCTCATCCTTCCAAAACTGTGCAACAAAAAGCCCCAAAAATTAAACTTGCCCCTCAGGAAGGCCATAAAGGTTAAACAAAGAAAATTCTCAACTCCCCCCCCCCAACGTTTGGCTCTCCCCAGAGGCTCTGCCCTTGGTTGGAGTTGGGCCTTTAAAAATGTTCTGCTTCATCAATGCACTTTGGTGCATTTCACACCGTCTGCACAAGTTAGCATACATGTACATGTACATGCACTTTGTCAATAACAATTCAGGGCGTTTTCCTAAAGAAATGCCCTGTACCAAAGTTCATGTACTTGTGCTGGAATTTCAGCGGAAAGTTTAACAAAAAATGGTTCATCGACCCTCCGGTTGAAGCATTATGATTAGTTGAAATGTTTGGTTTTGTTTTCTTCAGACGATAGAAAACCATGTCTCCATGTATTCTTTCTTTTTGACAATTTTACCTGGTAAATTTACCAGATTAAGATGAGAACAGTTTTCAAATACATAAAGTGTTGAGGAGTTGAAGGGAAATATCCCTGCGTACCGCACATTGGAAAGATCTCAATCTTAGTTTGGTGTTACATGAGAGGACCACACCATTTTCGGTTCAGAGGGGATAACCTGTGGAACTGCACAAAAGCATTCCGCCTCCTGCAGGTGACAAGGACATAAAGAGATTCGGGATCAAACCACTGGCAACCCATTCCCTCCAGTCCCTGATCATTACCTGCTAACTAGTTCAAGGTCAGTGATGGGACGGGTACCAGGTGCTCTCGGTTTTCTTTTTTGGAAAAAGAAAAAGCTAAAAAAAAAAAAGGGAAGAAAGTTCGAGGGTGTTCTGAGTGCTAATCCCGGATTTCCAGGACTTCCTGGGTAAAAAAGTGCTGTCATCCACAAGAGCAGATTGGCCTTGTCTAAGCCCATAAAACTTAACATGTCTGTGGGAAGGTTTTATCAAGCCCCGTTAAGACCGTGGATTTTGGCAAACTTCCCTTCAGGACATCTCACTCCGCCTGTGTCACTGCTATCAGATTATTGAGGGGCACTGTGTTAGTCAAAAATAAGGCAGGCAAAGCACTATTCTTACCCAGCAGTTTGGCCTCAAAGCTCGTATTTTTAATTTGACCACTGAAGAAAGTGAAACACAGCGTGATATTATTAGATATTTATGAAGCTGTTTGAATTGTTTACTTGTGCAAATCCAACTTCAAGTCTGCTTTGAATAATTGTATATTTTTCAGTGAGGCACACTAAGCGATATTTCCTTCATAGATATGTTGACATAGTGTTTCCAATTTTTTTCTTATTGCCAGCCTGTACAAGTCTCAGTCAGCAGATCTTCATTTATCAATTATTGTCAATTTTATTTTCTGTTGCTTTTTTTCTTCATAAAGCCCAGCAGTTGTTTCACCTTCAAGTGCAGATTGGGTTAGAGATTTTGTTGGTTCATTGACTCTAAGAGCACTTTGTGTATTTACACTCTGCAAGGGTCACAGCAGATTTGACCTATCAGAAGTTCAAGTTCAGCCCACTGGCTATGCGGTAGTTTATCAGCACTTCACGGTTGCCAAGGGCAAGGCCACTTCGGGGCTGGCTGGCACTGTTAATGATGAGATGTGGCTGAGGTGTGGCCAGGCCCCACAGGAATAGTGTGAACTTTGACCCTGGAGAGACCCATTACGGGCTGCCGGGCTGGTTTTTGGTGGAAATACCTGTGTGTTTCTCCCTGTGCCTGAGCTGGGCTGGGATCAGCCACCCTGGGGTGAAGCAAATTGCCTGGCTAGTTAGACACATTGGTGAGGGACCCAGGGGTCCTGCAGCTCAAGCGCCAACTTACGTGCCCGGCACAATGGAGTCGTGCAGCGGGCAGGGTGAATTGTCAAGTTGGCAAGGCTTCCTTCTGTGCACTGGCATTCTCTGCTTCTCATCACA